CACAATATACAGATGTTGTTCTTGAAGAATCATATGTATTCATTAACAAATTGCAGACTCTGAACATTCTTGTTTGTTTTTTTTTCTCTCTTTTTTCTTTTCTTTTTTCTTTTTTTGAGATGGAGTCTTGCTCTGTCGCCCAGGCTGGAGTGCAGTGACGTGTTTTTCAGCTCACTGCAAGCTCCGGCTTGCCGGGTTCAAGCGAATTCTACCTGCCTCACCCTCCTGAGTAGCTGGATTACAGGCACGTGCCAGTATGCCTGTGCAAATTTTCTATTTTTTTTGTAGAGATGGTTCACCATGTTGGTCAGGCTGATCTTGAACTCCTGACCTCGTGATCTGCCTGCCTCTGCCTCCAAGTGCTGGGACTACAGCATAAGCCACCACCCCAACGGCCAACAATTCCTGTTTAAAACAGAAAACTTGGTCATGTGTTTACATGGAAATTTCCAAGTTATTACAACATATATTAAGATCTGAAAAAGGCAACATTCAGCAGAATAGCTGTTTGTGAACACAGGTTACTAGGTAATACCCATAAAAAATTTAGTATCAATAAGACGTATCAAACTTATTATCTGATTTTCTCAGAAAATCTAGAATATTAAGACTTATAATTGCATCTTGGTGGCTCTGACCACTCTCCTTACTACATCGTTACATATTGAGAACCCTGAAGTTCATAGTAGGACTGGCATTTGTATCGACTGTTGGGACTGGTGGAGATACACTTTTTGCGGGAAGGGACTTGTATTCCCCATTGCTATTAGGTGAAGAACCCGCCCATTTTCCTGATGTCTGAATAAATATACTATGTGGAATCACAGTTATCAGGACATTTTTTTCTATGCCATATGATGTACAGCTCAACTAAGAAAGTTTCATTATAGGAATAAAATTTACCAATCAGTGTGTGCTAATAAATTGAGTACTGTTGAAAAATAGTCTGATAAACAGTGCTTTTTGTGCTATAATAGTTAACTACAATAGTTAAATATATTTCTCTCTCTATATTCTTCTGATCATTTAAATTCTGTGAAAACATACTAAGAACATTTAGTCAGTCCTATTTTTATCTGTGAAAATCTCATTGGCTGTTATTAAAGTCTACTATTACGATGCTACAATGTAGTATTTTAAAGATGATAAAATTTTGTGAATTTAAAACATGGTGAACCCCGTCTCTACAAAAAATGCAAAAATTAGCTGTAATCCCAGCTACTCAGAGGGGTGAGGCAGGAGAATGGCTTGAATCCGGCAGGCGGAGCTTGCAGTGAGCTGAAATCACATCACCGCACTCCAGCCTGAGAGACAGAGGGAGACTCCGATTCAAGAAAAAAAAAAAAAAAAAAAAGAAAAGAAAGAGAAAAATAAAAAATTTTTGTGATTTTAAGCTTTGTGAATTTTAAAGATGATAAAAACTATTTATGTATTTATGTAACTATTTACTAACAGTAAGGGTGTATATGTTAGATAAAAATTATATTAATTAGATATAAGCTCTATACAAATTTATGAAGCAGCCTATCGTTTATTTTACAAGTTTTAATGTAGATCATTTATCAAAGCTGAGTAAAATTGAAGTATACACTTTACACAGAGTCCATGATAAGCATAGAAATAGTAAACAGTATTCTAGAAATGTAGGAATTGATACAGTCTGGAAAACCTATGGTAACTTTGAGATAATCACTCTGTAAGTATCTCTTTCCTTTTTCCCACTTAGCTTAATATTTTTGAGATTCATCCATGTTGTATTATGTATCAAGGTTCCATATTATCACATGGCCAAAAATAGTTGAATTGTACCCTTGAAAAAGAAGTGGATTTTGGAGTATGTAAATTATACAACAGTCCTCTGGGTTAAAAATACATTAAGCAATTTATCTTTAAAACTTTTTGTGAATATCTAAAAAGGAAAGAAAAAAATCAAATTTTGGCACTGAAAGACTTCCTTTGTTCATTATGCAATCTCTTTATCATAATAAGTAAAGGTCGAGCATGTTCAGAGAACTTTACGTGTAAGGAATCCATTGGCAAGTATGAGGTTTGTAAACATTCAACCCACCCACCTACCCTTTTCCTTTACTTGTTTTCTCTGTAGTAAACAATAGGCTGGAGATAATTTTTTGATTGGATATCCTCAGTAGCATCATCGATACAAATTATTAAGGTCTGATTCTCCTGATGCTAGCAGAAATTCAGAATTAAGGATTCATTTCTCCCCTGACATGTACATCTTTTCTGAGTGTGAGCAAGGAATACAATACAAGCAGTTGATAATTTTGAAATACAAATAAAGACAAAAGAACAAAGTTTTTATTGGCAACTAATACATTTTGCTGATATTCCCATGCAGCTGCCTAACTAGTCTGTACATTATAAGATTGCTTTTATGTAAAGGCAGATTGAGTTGTAAGAGATGAAATGATCATCTTCCCAAGTAGCCATTACTCTAAAAATGCAGAAGACTTAGTCTGGCACAGAAGTTAAATGGTATTAGAAGTATTTGTATCTCTTTACTCCTAAAAGTGTTTTCTATATTTTTGAGTAAAACACTATCATCTCAACGAGAGGAAAGAAGCTGACAGAAACTGAATGGAAATATGTAAATCACTTACTAATGCAAATTGGTTGTGCTGACCATCCATTTTGCAAACATGTAATTGATCCTGAAGAATTTCCATCTGCTGTTGCATATCCTGGTTTACATTTATATTGCATTTCTTTATTTAAAATATAAATAGAGGAAGATTCAGAAATAAATCCATTTTCAACTTCTATATCTGATTTTGAGCATGTTCCTAAAATAGAAAAAGTGGAGAAAAAATACGTATTTGTTGAATACTTCTTTTATAGAAGGGAACAAGTACAAACATGGCAATATGGCAAAACAATGAAACATTTGTTAATGAATTGAAAACAGCAAAACTGGAAGTTTCCTAAACATCAGTGCTCTTAAAAGGAAACCACGAAGTTTTGAAAGAAATGTTGAAAACACAGGGAAAGGCAGAATAAAAGCAAAGAATCCTTGAGACTGTCAACAGAGTTGTGGCAGGCCTTGAAAAATGCAGATCTACCAGACTCTCAAGTCCCTAATGATATTTTGGAAGACTTTCTGGCTACTTTGCAACAACCTAAGTATTTTTGGTACTATTAAGGTGTCTTACACCTCGTTAAGTCAAATGATATTTCCCAGGCAAAGATAATGTACACCCTGCTACCACAGGCAAGAAAGTAATTTTGTAAATCCTTAATCTCCAACAATTGAAAATGGTTGTCATCTTAAGTGGGTGCTTAAACACATAGAGACGTGGTATTTGAGAGGAATGTGGAAATGTAAACAGAAAAAAGAAAGCAAACAAGATTGCCAAAAGAAGTTCTAATACATTCGTAATGTGTTTGTTCTTTATATATTAGTAATGTATGTGTTCTACACATTACTAATGGGTATATGCATAAGATATTAATTATTTTAGTAATGTTATGTTCTAAGATATTAGTAGTGTACATGTTCTTTTCTAATTAGTAATTAGAAAAAAATGTAAATGGACCAATTTTACTATCTGAAAGAAAAAGAAATCATGTTATAGATGATACATATTTATAATATAGCATTTGTCATAATCATGAGTTTTCTGATCTATTCTTGCCTACTTTCCTATTAATCTCCTCCAGTCTCTAAACTACAGCGTTCAGTTTCTCTTGTTAACAATTTTATTTTCAATATCTATAAAGTACTTGACACACAACAATATTTATTAGGCAAATTAATGATAGAGTTGGTGCCTATGGCTTAGGCTATTGTTGGGGATAGTTGCTCCTACAAGCTGTAAGGAGATTCCCATTGTCTTTCATCTCAATTATATAATAATTATCATGCGGTTTCTATAATGGAATGTTTTGTAAATTGCAAGCAATACACGAAAACGACTTTCAGAGACTCCTTTGCCTAAAAAGTGAAAGTCAGCTATAACAGAAGATGAGTCTTAATTTAAAGCAACAGATCACTAACTATAACAATAGATGTCATATAATTGTGAGAGATGTACAAGTGACCTTTGAGCAAGCGTTATATTTATTGTTTAGCTAATGCTATAATTTTATAATCTACTTAAATCAATGCATTTAGCATGATTTCAGTATAAATACTGAAGCAGTGTTACTTTCACCTGTATTTTATTTATTTTGTGTTATTCATGACTTATATTTCTATTGTTACTTAACTATTAAGTGACAGAATCCACTCATTATCCAGAAATTATAAATATATTCATACATCTTTGGAACTGAAAACTAGCTAGGCTTCTACTTAAAAATGAAAAAGATATATATTTAGCTTGAGAGTTGATATACAAAATTTTCCTGTTAAAGGTCTAGATCTCAGACAGTTACGGACATACTGGGATCTCAAACGAGTGGACTAACTGCCACGAATGCATCTGGGAGGAGGAGACCAATCATCCTCTGTACATGAAACTGTGGTCTACACATTTGGAAGATGGTAGTCGGGACAGACTTCAGCTTTTACAGATTGAACCTGTCAATATGTCCCTTCATATTTTGTGTTATATCCATTCTCCAAATAATTGAAAATACATTGTCCTAAGGACCATAAAATGATTTAAAGGTAAATTAGAGACATGAATTTAATCAAAATAGTATATTAAAATAATTTTTAGAATATTTAAATAAGACTGCATCAATACTCAAAAATAATGTATAACTGAAGGAAAACTAAAGCTACTCTAAATGTACAAAAAAGTCGGTATTCAATGTTACTTATCTTTAATTTTTATAAAATATGTTTAGAATATATATGTATTCTCCTAAAGTTCCTATATTTATTTCTCATGTGATTTTCATGAAGATCTCATAACAGAAAAAATCCATTTTGGTCTTTTTGCCTGAACAACTCTTTCCTTGGTACCATTTCTGTCATATAAGACAATGTAATCATTTATTTGCTCTTCTCTCTCCATTCTTTGCAAGTTTTATGCACATATTGTTGTGAAGAGACTTACTTACTGAGGCATGGGACTGTTGGCAACCACCCATCTTGTGTGCAATGAATGTAATCCCAGTAACTTCCTGAAGGAGTCACAAAATTTGCATCACAATAATAGGAGTAAGATTTTCCTGCAGCTACTGGAAAGTATGGTCTACGTATAGTCTCATAATACAGACCTCCATGTTGAATTTCTGGAAACTCACAAGGTTTCATTACTTGTAACAAAAAACAAAAATAGTATAAATAATGTTTCACTGTAACAGACAATGATATGAGACGACTGTTTTGATTATGTTACCTTCCACATAATGGTTTTGTTTCCTTTTTTCTTTTTCTTCTTTTTTGATATGGAATTTCACACTTCTGCCCAAGCTGGAGTGCAATGATATGATCTCGGCTCACTGTAACCTTCATCTCCTAGGTTCAAGCAATTCTCCTGCCTCAGCCTCCCGAGTAGCTGGCACTATGGGCACACACCACCATGCCCATCTAATTTTTGTAATTTTAGTAGACACAGGATTTTACCGTATTGGTCAGGCTGGTCTCGAACTCCTGACCTCAGGTGATCCACCCACTTCAGCCTCCCAACGTGCTGGAAATACAGATGTGAGCTACCGCACCTGGTTCATTTTATTTTAGAATTTTTTAAAAAATTTTTATAATAATTTTTTAAGTTCTGGGATACATGTGTAGGATGTGATGGTTTGTTACATAGGTAAATGTGTGCCATGGTGATTTGCACCACCTATCAACCCGTACCCTATGTATTAAGCTCAATTCTTCCATGGCAAGCTTTCCATTTTTGATGATATAATTCACTCCTCTTTCTCTCCTTTTGATGCAAGTATTCGGCACTCAAGTCTAGCCCTTATTAACATTGGTATTTCTTTAGAAACTTCCCCAAGTCATATTTTAATACATCTTTTATGAACTTACATAAATACATTTCTTCACATAGTACATATCACTTCTGAAATCCAAAAATGTTTAAGAGCTCTCAATACATTCAGGGGCTATTTACAATTCAAAAATAAATATTATTTGAGCACTAAATACTCCTCCAAATGTATATTCTAACACTTTCTAAAGTAGATACAGAAGTGAATACATAAATAGGGGACAATAATTAAGGTTTAGCTCATCGTAGGATCAGCCAAGATATTAGCGTCATCAGTCAATATAAAAGGTAAAAGGCAGCATAGCATCATAATAAAGGAAATGAGTCACATCACAGAAAAGAGCTGCTGGTATCATCCTATACTTAGGAACCTGAGCACTTGAAAAACTCATGAGTTTACAGTTTAAGAGCTGTGATAGGAATAGGTTATCTGATATGCAATGCCTGATGGGTATCCCAGGACTCTACGTCATAGGCTAGTAGAAACTTGTGGCAAACTTTCTGTTAGGTTTTCTTGTTGTTGCCATAATTATTTTGGCTCATATGTTTTGAAATGTGTTGCTTCAAGTTCATAGCACTTGGAGAACAGATTCTGGAAGTATACCTATATTACTGACTTGAGGGATTTTTCATGTATTCATTTTGATTCTGGGATGAAGGGAGAGTAGATAAAGGTAAAGACAGAAAACACGGGGTTTTAGAAATGGCTGACCTTTCCTTTAATTTCTTTCTTTCTTGCTAGAAATACTGGTAAAATATAAGAAAGAACAATAATCAGAGAAAGAACTTCTCAGTGTTAACTAGCTATGTGCTCTCTCAGGAGGCATTTCAGGTTTTCAAGAAGGATTTTAGTTAATCATTCATAGTTTTTATTATAATTTAAGTTCTGGGGTACACGTGCAGAACATGCAGTGTTTTTACATAGGTATACATGTGCCATGGTGGTGTGCTGCCCCCATCAACCCATAACCTACATTAGGTATTTCTCCTAGTGCTATCCCTCCCTTAGCTCCTCACTCTGTGACAGGCACTGGTGTGTGATGTTCCCCTCCTTGAGTCCACCTGTTCTCCTTGTTCAACTCCCACTTATGAGTGAGAATATGTGGTGTTTGATTTTCTGTTCTTGTGATAATTTGCTGAGAAGGATGGTTTCCAGCTTCATCTTTGTCCCAGCAAAGGACATGAACTCATCCTTTTTGATGGCTGCATAGTATTCCATTGTGTATATGTGCCACATTTTCTTTACCTAGTCTATCATTGATGGACATTTGGGTTGGCTCCAAGTTCATTGTTTTTAAAACAGTGTTTTCAAAACTCTTTGAAAACTCTTTTCATAAATGTTAATAATGTGAAAATGATTACTGATCTTAAGTTGAGATGCCATATTTCATATGTGTGCAATACATCGATGTCATTCTTGAAGACTGATTGTATCCATTAACAAATTGATGTCTCTGAACAATCCTGTTTTAAAAAAGAAACTTTGTCATCGTTTACATGAAATTTTCCAAGCTTATACACTTACATATTAAGATCTGAAAGGCAAACATTCAGCAGAATAGCTGTTTGTGAACACAGTTCTAGGGTAATAACCCATAAAAATTTTAGTATAAATAAGCAAAAATCAAACTTATTACTCTAATTTTCTCAGATCCAGAATATTAAGAACTTACATCTGCATCTTGGTGGCTCTGACCACTCTCCATTACTACAAGTTACATATTGAGAACCCTGAAGTTCATAGTAGGACTGGCATTGGTACTCGACTGTTGACTGTGGCAGATACACTTTTTGCGGGAAGGACTTGGTATCTCCATTGCTAATAGGTGGAGGAGGCCCA